TTCCCGCCACATTTCCGTTCCCTATCACTTGTTGCCATCCATCCCTTGCTCCAACAAGTTCATGATCAGCTCCATCACTGTGCTGTCATCCCAACACCAAGTGACAATATGTAATCCGCAGCTGCCTTCATGATGCCGACCGAGCTGCGGTAGCCTGATAGTGGTCCACAGGGTGGCTGCAAGACAGACGGTCCGACACATCCAAGTACAAGAGAGTGTATGTATGATGTATGGGACAGGGGGGTCATATCTTCACCCTGCAGCCGCTACCTGGCAGATCCTGCCTTCCTGTGTTTATTTTCAATTTTGCCGGTGAATTTTCCAGTTCATCAGCTCCTAAAATGACAATTGCCGCGTCATAGATAAATGGTGGCAATGTAACGGTAAGATACCGAAGTGAACACAACAAGGGAACCGACGCGGGTGCAGGGCTTGACGACCAAAGCGCACGCGGGCGCTACGAACTGTTGAAGTACTTACACACCAACGGCACGCGGCCTGGATGTGGCGCTTACTGGTGCCGCTTCTCATCCAGCGCGTATCGGACAACCGCACTTTGCTGCTACTGCAGTTTCTCCTTATCTTCTGCTAGACATATCTATTGGATAAAAACGAGAAAATAGAGAGGTGTTGACAAGGTGCAGCTTTAGTCGCGAGCTCGGCTGTAGCCTCGATCACGGTGGGGCTCGAACCCACATGGAAATAGGTCCCGGGGCCGAATCTAAAATATAGACACCCTATCCATGTCCATCACTCCATGCACCGCCACCAGTTCCACGACCACCGCCGCCGCACTGGCTTCACCTCTGGCCTAACCGCACCTCTGCTCCTTGCCATACACAGATTTGCAAGAAATTTGCCTCAGGCACCCGCCAGTAATCGCAGCTCTTGAAGGTACTCAACTCCGGCAGTAGCAGCAGCAGCAGCAGCAGCAGGACCATCATGTTGATTGCAGGACCAGGTTCATGCGGACATACAGTGAGAAACAAGCGGGGAGGGCGTGTGTGTGGACAAGTCAGCGTGTGATGTGTCTATTACCGGCTCATAGCAAATCAAGCGCGCAATATACCTCGACGGTACGACACAGTGCTGCTGCAAAGCCCACCGTGCAGTTATCACTAATCCTCGTACCGTACCGCGACATGAAAAACACAATAGGATGATGCTCCACAAACTACGGCACACGGAAGAGTCACGACACCACAACCGATAGCAACCGACACAGCCGAAACAGATTGGTAATCTGCTGGACACATCCCTCAACTCAAATCAACGCACATACTGACACTCGTAATAGTGAAGTGCTCAGCCCCCCTCAGCACCACGACGGGGTGCCGCCGCCGCCACAGCAGCACCAACACGAGCATCGGGAAGAAGACAACGGAGCCAGGCGCCTCTGCCACCTAGGGAAGAACGATAAAAGGAAAACACAAGCGCGTCAGAGAACGTCCCATTTCCTAGAAACAGCGCACTTACCTCCTTTACCCGTCCGCGAGCCCATAACCTGAGCGGGTAGAAACCCACCGTACGAGCATCAGGCGAGCATGCGGTGGTCGGGCCCTGCATTGCAAAGTCCCGCTTCGCGCAAATAGCGACACGAACAACGGACGCGGAGGTGGGGCTGGCGAGTGGTGCGCTCTTGGCAGCTCCACCTAAGGGACTACTAAAAACGGACACCGGCGAGGCTTTGGCGCTTCTCAACCGTTCCTATCCTTCTCTATCTCGCCTCCTATGCACCACCCGCCCTCCTGCGGAAAAACTGCTCCCTGGTGACAGACAGTGCACTCCCGCGCAGGGAAGCGAGAGAGACCACTTCAGGCCACTACCAGGGAGACCACTTCCGGAATCCTGTGTTTTACGACATGCTACTGCAGGTTTTATTTGAAACCCTTGCACCCGTACCGCACCGTACGTTACTGTAAGGAACCGCACCGTACCGTGTGGCATTCATATCCGCGGTACCGTGGCAGCAGTTGCCGGAAGGCGTCGTTGTGGAGCGATAGCGCGGCGTCCATTACCGCGACGGTCAGCGTTTCCCACAACGAGGTCATTAAACACAGGCACATACTGAGATACACAGCAATCATGCTTGGATGGCGGCTAGCAACGCTAATCCGGACTTTGTTTTAGGGCTG